TTTGCGCCTTTGTCCTATATTTTGATTATGCCTTTTCACAAGTCATAAAATTTTCACTTTCACATGAGCACATACCGCACAAGCCATTTTCGAGATCGACCATGAATTCTTGTGCGATAAAGAAATAGCATGATTTTAGCGCCGCTGAGCCCAAGTATGGATGTAACAATGACAACAATATTCAAAATGGTTGATAAATGACGGAAGATCAACCACTTTTATGAGGCAACATAAGCATCGTGAGTCTTCACTATTATGGGCAGCATCGTCTTGATTTTATTCAGGCTTTGTATCAAAATCTAAACTATGACGCAAAGTATCGTGACATCATGAAAAACCCCAGAGACGGAAACCTGAAGTTTTGCCATGGAATAGCTGGTAATTTCCCGCAGATTTTCGCCAACTTTTTGATGTTAAACTGCATTTAATCCTGGTGCTGTGTCCTCTTGCAGTGACTAATTGAGCGGTTTTATTCGTTGCCATATTCCTGAGATTTTATATTGTTATAAGATCATTGTCTGTAAGGAAGAGATCTAATGGTGTTGCGATGTTGAATCAGGTGATGAATATGAGGATCTTATGAAATGAACGCCACTGATTTGATCATTTGCTGGACTGCCATAATGAGCCCGCAATCCGTTCATCTTAGAAGCGAGGTAAAATAGCTTGCATCGCAGTGTTTTCATGTATGAAAGTGATTTTGCTGCCGTGCTATATTGAATTTGTTCCCGCTCAACGAATTGTTCATCATTTGCTCTAATGAAGGACGAAGTTGCTTTCTAGTCGCGAAATCATTCCATGTTTTTTGAAATCAACTAATCATATTGGGCTATCTCATAAATTATGGCACTACGGCAATAACCACCAAATTTATTAACCAGAAGTAATTGAAATTGCTCAGCAACACTATTCAAACTATGCGCCATTAGCTTGGACACATTTCTACCATCTCTAAGGCAGTAAATCATTACCGCTTTGTGCAAAATTCACTGAGTTTTCTTATGATACCACAATTTTCCATGCTTGCCGCATTATGGCCGCTCATCGAAACCTTTATCGCATTCTGCTCCTTCTAGTATGAACTGGGAAGCGATACACACACCGGATTTAAGAACATCAACCATGAAACGGTTCAGAAATTTTTGTCCAGGCCAGCGGCATTCCGATTCTTACTTGAGTCTCGCGAAGGCAAAATCAACGTGGAGGACCAGCTGCGCCTCGATAGTCCACGCGAAGTTGATCAAGAAGCCGTCATCGAAGCAACAGAAGAGTTGCTGTGTTACGGTCGCAAGAGCACTTCCTGAACAAGGAGTTCTGAAACATCAATAATTTCCGTCGAGGGTTGACAGCTTTCTTTCAAACTAAAGATGACGAGTTCTATGGGCGCGGTATTGATTCATTGCCTGAGAAATGGCAGAAATATGGAGGGCGGTGGCGCACACTTTGAATAATGTTGTTAAGCAATTTTGGTCACTCCTGGTTGGCAAATTTCATGTTTATTGTTTTAGTACCATAACTTATGAGAAGACATGGTATGGACTTTTTTGGTAAAGTGAGAGCGCACAATATTTTTGCTGTTACTGAACATGCTCAGTAGAGTGGTAGCAGTTCAGTGAAAAACTGGTGTTGGATTCAATCTCACAGGCTGATACAAATGTAATAAAGGTACATTAGTGAATATGGGATTGGAAGATTGATCTGAGTTAGTTTTTACTTTCACGAGACTTTCAATAGTCGCCTCTTTGTCGAACTCCGTGGGATTGAATAAAATCGTTTATCGTAAAATAACACTTTGACAATAGCAATAAAGGAATATATGGATATAGATACATAGCGAGAAAGCCAGCTAAGATCTAGACTAAGCGGAAGCCGAAACGAAAGGTTGCTTATTTGTATTCACTTCACGATGAGCAGGGTTTTGAAGTTAGTGAATAAAAGGAACAAAGTTAAGGGAAGAGTCTGGAACAGGAACAAAAAACACTTTCATCATACGTTCACGTCAAAATGGCAATGTCTGAAAGTTGGAAATAAATTCACTTTTTGAAATTCTGACGAGCACTTGCGTGAAGAATCGAAAGTGCAACAGACTTAAGTGCATCGAAGGTGTGTAATTTCGGCTTTTGGGAAAAGTAGAGGATTACATATTGCAAGAACTAGAAGCGATTTTGAGTGAATCTGAGAAAAAGTAGGCAACAATCGCTACATTATGAAGAAATGTGCCTAAAACAGTTACAACATTTCGTTGGCAAGATATGATTTTACAGCAGCACTAAAAGCCTTTCGTGTGTAGAAATCAATCGTTCTAGTCGAACCAAGCGTTCGAATGCCTGCTGAAATTTTAATTATTTAAATGACTCCAGAATGTTCTTGAAAGTATGTGCAGTTTCAAGCATTATGAACATTGCAATACATTTCCTCAATAGCTTCTATACTTTCTAAACATATGATACGAGTCCTAAAAATAAGATAGCACTACTTAGACGTACCAGTAGACTGCTGTACACTCTACACGCGGTGGGATCCTTATGTGTTTTACGTAGTAGTTGTGAAAATATCTGGTTCTTCGTGATATTCAACATCTGTATCAAAGAACAAAAAAGAACTCGTAATAAGTTGCAAAGAGTTGCTAATAAATATCACTTCAGTTACCGATGTTATAACCTACGATAAGGCCCTATGATAAACCTTAGCATTTAGAATAAGGTTACGTTTCGCACCAACAGAGCGCATATTACTTTTATTCTATGGAAACATGAAAAGCACACGAGCGTGTAGATGAAATTTTGTAGTAACAAATTCATAGGTTTTTTATTCAAGATTTTTGGAGGATCTTCCGAAACGGAGAAGAAAATTCTAATTAAATGGCAAAAATTGCACTCCATGTGAGTCGCCTTGAAGCGATTGTAGAACGCCGTATCGTATCCACGCTTAGCAGACGCCCAGCTCACACTTTAGCCGGAAAACCGCTCCCGCATATGTGAAACCTAATATTATCGTCCCTACTACACTGTAGTAAATAGTCATTGTAGAAAATAAGTAAAGCATTGGAATGGTCGAAGCTTACGCTACCGAATGGTTAATTATAATTCGAGGAAAGACTTCTGTCTTGCGAGAAATATGCGTGTGTAAAACACAGATGTTTTCATTCTATCACCACAGCATTGTATAAGTATGCGTAGCGTGGTAGGCACAAATTTAAGCTGTCGATTTTTGAAAAAGCGGAGAAGAAAGAACAGAAATATTCACGAATTAAAAGCGCATGAGCGTGTAGAGAAAATTGTGATGTATCAAAGCGACACAAGAAATCGAAAAAATTTCACAAAACGCGGAAAACACCCTAATTAAACAATGAAAATCGCGCACAACTGCGCGAATCGTGTCGAGCGCATCGATTTCAATTGCCGTCCTGAACGCGTTAATAGCCAAGACAACATAGGTATTACCTCTGTATAATGGATTTGAATATGTCGTTTACTCGTGACTCCTTCGCGAAAGTCGCTATATTCCTATTGCACCTCATGAATGAAGACGCTTCCTCGTCCATCATGAAAATAGAAACTTTGAGATGAAAACAGTACCACATGTTAGAAGCAGATGAGCTCAGCAATCTCAACAGAATAGTGCGTAGGCTTATGTTGGTTTGGAGAAAAACGCCAAAAAATAAAGAATTCATTTCAACGAAATCTACTCGAGAGACAATTTGAAAATTTTCTTTCCTATGGTACAGTTCTCTCCTCATCACCCTGGCCGATGTTCGATTACCTAATTCGAGTAAAATACAAAATCCTGATGAATATCAATGAAAAACTAAAGCTTGAATGATATTGAGTTTTAGGTGACTAGTAAGAACTCGACTGACCTTTTTCTAAGTTGACCTCAAGACCGCATTTCTAGGGTGCTCAGAGCGGTTATTATAAGCTTCTTCTGGCCTGTATTGCCTCAGAATAGGAATCCGTGAAGCTTATTTCGACCAAGTCTCTCATTTTTTCTACCCTCCGATCCCTTGATTCATGCTAGAAGGACAATGTTAATGCTGTGGCTAACACGCCAAAAATCTGAGTTAGTATGCATATTATCTTAGTGGTACTACGGATGGGTAGGATGGAAGAGACGAAAAAAAAAAGCGGTAGTTTCGTCATTCGTGATCATATAACTGCAGCGTCTTTTTTCTCGCAAAGAGAATTTCCAGTGAAATTTTAGTAATCAGGCAAACCATTGGATCCTGGGAATTTCAAAGCTTACTTGGCCCTCGAAAACGTCTTCTTAGTGCACTGTAGTAGGTAAATGAAATTAGGTTTCAAATGCGGCATGTGTTAACGCGTGTTTTCGTTATTTAAAAATTTTTTTGCCGTTTTGCAGACATTTTTAGGTTTTTCGTCATGAATGTAAAAATAACTTTTTTCGTTCTGTAGGCTTAGGCTTTTCATTTTCTTTTCATATTGCCAAATGAACTCGCTGCGAAGTCTAATCCTTTGACTTCCTTAAGCTCAAATTAGTGCGACGACCAACATTGCTCGTCTGGCTAATCTCCAGAATATTTTTTATAGTGTTGTCTGAGCTTTACATCGTTACGCACTCGTCGGCTATGTGGCGAGCAGTCCGCAGTGACGAATGGCCCGAGATGCCGTTCATCGGGAACAAAGTTGCAGGTTTGTTTCCCTACCACGACGCTTCACTGTAGATTTTTTGACGTTATCTTTCTGTTGTTGACTAATATCGAAGGTCCTTCTACAAAGCAATCATCACAGCAAAAGACGCTCAGTTGTTTATCACATCACTACTTTTATATAAAACGTGAATCCATGGTGTAGCAAAGCAGTTCGAACTTTTTCGCTGATTGACAATGTAGTAGCTTTTCATGTAATTTAGTTCAGAATAAGATTTGAATCCATGTGATCTTTTTTCCAGTTTAATATGCCCTTCAACACAGTTCCTTGTATCTCTGGAATACTTACTTAGATACTAATTATTTACGTAAGTGAATGCTGTACAAAAACATTTGCGTCGGCCGGGATGCGAACCCAAATCTCTCTCTTTTTGGGAGAGTGTGTTAAACCCTTGCACCACCGACGGCCGTTTTGCTCAGCACTCTTTTTACACTTTAACGCGTTATCTGTCAACAGACAAACGTCGGCGGTCTGGCGGGTTTAGCACACGCTCCCGGAAAGAGCGAGGTCTGTCGCAACCCAGCTGCAAATATTTTGCACAGCACTCCACATTATTGGGTATATTGTAAGATCATACCACCGCAAATGGCGGTCAAATTAGATCATTTCTGATTGATTATTCATACCCAATATCTGTCAACATAAGTGGGTTCAATGCTGATAGCGGCTGCTCCGCCAGACCATCGGCGGTTGGCTATTGACAGATAATGCGTTCTAGCGCAAAAAGAGTGCTGTGCAAAATGACGGTCGGTGGTGCAACGGTTCAGCACACGCTCCCGAAAAGAGTGAAATCTGGGTTCGAATCCGGCCTACTTAAATAGTTTTGCACAGCACTCCACGTTATTGGGTTATACTGCAACATCATACCACCGCAAGTGGCGGTCAAATAAAATCGTTTCTGAATGCTTATCTAGGTAGTATACCAGAAATACAGGGATACTTAGATGGTCCGTCGTCACTAGCTGTGCGGACCCCAGCACACATCCAAAATGGTATACTGCTGCTCGTGCATATAATATTCCTTGATTTCCTGACATAACCTTGCAAGGGCTTTTTCAGGCTGTCATGATATCGTTCCAAGGAATGGATTTCGGCAACGGGTCCTCGGCCGGGCTTCCTACTAGTTGATTCGCAGATGTGTTAGGCTGAAATGAAAAGCAGAGGTAGGAAGAAAAATCAACCGACCGGTCAAAAAAGATGTAGAAGCCGAAATCCATTTTTTAGAATAAATGACGGTAAGTAAACTATTCACATTGACCGCTTGTGATACGGTGTTACTATAAAGATGTAGTGTGATGTGTTGTGTCTGTGATTTGAGCATAATGAACTAGAAGCAAAAAACATAACACTAAGAAAACTACAGTAAGCGTCGTGGTAGGGAATCTGACAAGCAACCTTCTTCTCCATGGACGACAGCACGTCCCATTTATCACTCCGAACTACTCGTCGCCGAGTCGTCTTGTGCGCGACGATGTAAAAGCCCCGACGACACTACTACGAACAATTTGGTGCTGAGATTCAGATGCCAGAATGTTGTGTCATCGCATTAGTTTGGGTCCGCGGAAGTCAGAGAGGTATAGAGACCTAATTTTTCTATTTTCTTCTTGTGAACGCGCGCGTAGAGAAAATTTTGGAGTACCAGAGTTGAAGTTTCATCTATGGCTTCTTTCAAGCGATGAAAAATCGTAAAGAAAAAAACAAAGCTCGCGCCATATGCGAATTTGCGCTGCGAGACCATCAAGCTGTTCCGAAAAGCGGTGACTGCGTGTGTGAAAAGGGATCTTATTTTTGTTGCTAGAACACTCTATGATAGCTTTTTCACAAGAAAATTCAGACTATCACAATCGTTGAGATTTGAGGTTCGAATGACTACCGAAACTCTCAAAAAGCAGACGAACGTGGTATATCAAAAAGCATTGAAAATGGTTACGGTCAACGGAAATATACTGAAAAAACTGATTGTGACTTATAAATGAATGCCTGGAAACGTTAAAAGCAAATCTATCTACAAACAAACAGCAATATCAACGACGAATCCACCGTTGTCAAAATGATTAGATTTAGAATAGCACCATATACGCCCAGTAGGCCGCTGTATAGGCAGATTCTAATGATTACAGGCGGGAGCGGTATTTCAAATTGCTCTCTGAAAGATAACAGTTTTATAATTTGACATATTGATTAATGCCTTTCTTCCAATGTCAGGGCACGATGCAAAGCACAACTAACCGTAAGGAAGTTGGCAGTAGCAGAATCTGGAAGCTCAGTTGGGCAACAAGAAAGCAATCACCCTTTTCAGGGTCAACGTCAGCGTTTCTATCATCTGTATCAACTGCCGTCCCGCTGATCGTCGAGTGACTCCAGCGGAAACCAGCAATACTTCCATTTTCCGTATCGCGTGCAGGAATAGCTCTCCTCGCTTTAGGGATTCTCTGAGCATCATACTTTTCTTCTATACCTTTCGGGAAGAAATCGGACCAACAGGTCGGTGGTCATCCTGTAGAGCGCTTGATGTCCAGAGGAATCGAGTCGGTAACGGCTCTCGTCCATCAGTTGTCGTTGAAGCGCATCATGTGTCCGGCCCACCTTATTTTCGATATCTTGGCGTGTAGAACAGCGTCTATGATTTTGATCACTGACGTAAGTCGGAGCTTTGGATCTTTCTTTTAATTGAGAGATAAGGGATACTCCTAACATTGACCTTTCGACTGCGTGTTCAAGAACGCCAAGTGATCTTTTATCCTGCTTACGTAGCGACCAGGTTCTGCTGCATACCTTAGGGCAGGGATAATCGTCGAGTCGAAAAGGTGCGCTCGGAGTCGGATGTTTTCTGCCCTCTTCACTACATCATCGATGCTCTTGAAAGTTCCCCAAGCCGCTGGTTTCCTCCTGCTCAACTCTAGAGTTAGGTCGGTCATCAAGTCGATTTCAGAACTTTGATAGACATAACGGGAGCATTCGGAAATTTTCGTTCCATTGAGCGTGAATGGGCAATTTACTACCCATTCATTTCTCATAAACATCGTTTTCGTTAGATTTAGCTAAAGAACAATCTTACCACAGACGTTGTCGAAATCAATCAACATTCGTTCCGCTTGACTAATGCAATGCTTAGTGTTGTGGAGACGATATCATACGCAAAGCGAAGATGGTTTGATTGCCAACCGTCAATTTTCATTCCCATATCGTCCCATTCTAATTTTCGCATGACATTTTGCAGGGTGGCAGTGAATAGTTTTGAGGAAATTGTATCGCCTTACCGAACCTTTCTTTTTGAGTCGATGGCAATATTCTCGTAGAATAATGATATTTTGATCGAGATATCTTTATGAAGCTCACGAAGGATCATCACGTACCTAGCAGGGACGCCCTGGTTATCCAGATCTTCTACAACCGCTTCTGTTTCGACTGAAGCGAAGGTTTTTATCAGATCGCTGAAAGTGAGACAAAGTCGTTGCTTGTACTCTCGCGAAATTTCAGTGAGTCTTGTGATTATGTGGATATGGTCTATGGTACTAAATCATTTTCGGAACTCTGCTTGTTTGCATAACTGTCCTTGGTCCAGTGTTCTGTCAGTCCTGCTCAGGATGACTCGAGTGAAGAGTTTATAGACAACGGACAGCAGGCAGATCGGGCGATAGCTGCCTATGTCTTGAAGGTCTCCCTTCTTGAACAGCAGTACCGTCTTGCTGGTTTTCCATTCAATGGTATCTCAGTTTATGGTAGTTTGGAACTTCGTTGTTTAAATTTGATGGCTTTCTCTCCTTTTCGCGAAAAACGGAACGCTGCGCGAAGGAGGCGATAGAGTGATCCCGTGTAGAACCTAGGAACAACAACGCCATCGGTCAAGCAAAACCTTCGATTTACCAAGATGTGGTCTATTTCGTCTTGGTACTTTCTATTAGGAGACTCCCACGTCCATCGCTGAGAGTGAGGCTCCTAGAAATGTGAGTTACCATGGATGGTTTGGATCGTCATGATAAACTCAGATAGCCGCTCATCCGAAATTCATTCCATTCTAGTCCCAATGTAATGTTCTTCAGACGTTCTTCGAGGTTCTATCTTCGCGTTAAAATCTCCGACAATGACCTTGACGAGTGTAAGGTCTTCTCTGAAGAATTTTTTGAGGTCCATATAGAACCTTCCACATAGTCTTCGTCATAGCTTGATGCTGGTGTGTAAGCAACGAAGATGGTCAAAGCCGGCATTGAACCACATCGTTTCAACCGTAATCGCCCAATAGGGGTTGCTAGTTGTTCAAATGAATCGATGTTCACGGTCAAATTCGATTTGACGAGGACGCCAACGCCGCCGGCACCTCTGCTATAGCATATTCCAAACAACAGTTCTTCTGCGGTGTCATAAAAAGCGTGAAAAAGATGTCGTCTTGTCGTCTCAGCCAGGCCAATGACGTCGTACCTTATCCTTCTTGTTGTTTCGATGGATCCTTTACAGGGGAATCGTGAGCAAGGATTCTTGCATTGCAGCTCGTCATTTTAGTCTGTTTCGATCTTGGCACCCTACTTTGGCCCTGAGATTCTAGCAGCCTCTCCGTACTCGTCCTACCTGGCGCTGCCGCATGACGGACTCCTGGACTCCTTCGGGGTTAGGGTAATGAGGCCCATATTTGTTACTGTTTTTGACATTTTGATACCCGTCGTATAGCTTGTCAGACTCTAAACGTGGGAGCTGGGTACTCACGAGTAGCTTGCCATTCTGTCTCGGAGGAGCTGGATGAACCTATTTGTTGGAAGCGACACCTAACCACCTTCCATTAATTCCCAGCCTCTTGATGGCAGGCTTTTGCCGACTCGATTCGTAGAAATAGAGTTTTGTCAAGTCGGCGTTGCAGAAGCAAAGAACTCATTCCCTAAATCCACCTCTGGGTCTCTGGGAAGCACATGGTCGCTTTTAGTTCGCATTTATTCGCCTATCACCACTTGGGAAAGCGCCACATGCCCTCGCGACTAACCGGGCGGGATCCCTCAAAGAGGGAGATCAGTGGAGCGGTTCTATCATAGTTGAATAATAATTTAAAAATGCATATTACTGATGCACAAACGGTGACGTAGGAGACGTATTCATTAATTCAGCGATGATACCACCATTTTTGAGTTGTTCAAATACACGACAATACCGCGTGGGTCCGTGATTACGTTCTTCCATTGAATACTCTGAAATCACATAGAAAACAACGTCTCAATTTCCGAACTTCTGTAGCGGTAACGTCTATAAATGTCACGTCGTCCATTCCACCAGATGTTCTGCAACCCGCTCGTTTTATACGGTTCCGCTCCATATGGGGTTTTCTCCATAATTTGGAAAAAAATATCCTTCGCAATTCTTCGACTCCATGTATGTTCTGTAGTCTTCTGTACTGTCTCGTAAGTACAATAAGCATGAACAA